ACCGTCTCCTGGTGATTGACCCAAAATCACCCAGCCAGCTTTCATTCCTAAGGCAGAACTAGAACTCACCATCTCCTGGTAATTGGGCCAAAGTCAGCGAGCTGTCTTTCACGTCTACAGTGGGACTAGAACTCACTCTCTCCTGCTTTTCTTTTGAGCCTGCTGCCTTAACCACTAGGCCGCGCTGCACTGCCTCTCGAATTAACCAAGCCAAGGCTGGTAAAGACCTTCTACTCCCATCTCTGGATGGGAGGCGTTTCAAATGATGACTTGCCGTTGAAGGAAGTCTAGGGATAGAGCTAGTTCTCGACTTATGACAGTTCGTTTAGTGACCAAAGTTACAACCTCAGCGGGGAAAAAAGGGGCTTACAACCATTTCTCACACTTACGTCCGTTGAGGCATCCCCCAATGGTCACGTGATCACAGTTCGAAAGCTTGGCAACCGATTCATACTTATGACGGTTGCTATGTCCTGGGTTCTAAAAAGCAAAGCCAAAGCGGCGGGAGCCAGATTTACTTAACAACCAGGTTACTAACTTAACCACCACAGCTTTACAACTGTGGCAAGAAAGGTCGTAAAATGGGACAGAACTCACTTAACACTGCCTCACTTAGCAACGGAAATTTGGGGCTCCATTGTGGTCGCAAGTCGAGGACTAGCTGTATCCTGGGTTGTTTTTTTTTTTAAAAAAAAAATCTACTTTTGCTTTGATCTTAAAAAGCATGGCTCTATCCCCTGAAAAAGACCAAACAAGATTTTGGGAAATACTCTTGAAATTCCCATTTCCATTCCGGCTAATGCATTTTGTTTCAACCCTTTCATGCCTTCCAATCGTCGGAGCTTAAAAGAAAAATGACAGACTCTGCTAAGCTTTTATCTCGCCGTGCCAGGCTCCCTTCTGCCTTTTTTAATCCTTCCTGGAAGCATCTCCTCCCCAAGGTTGGCCATCCAATCTTTCAACTTTCTTTTTTTTCAGAGCATTAAAAGAAAAGGGAGGCACGGGGGACGGGGAAGAAGGAAATAGGACAAGTCGAAAAAACAGGAGCTCAGCTTGGCAATTTATTTATTTTTAAATGTTCCTCTTTGACTGACCCAGTTGTTTCGATTGAACATCTGGATCAAACAAAAGACCTTTATTAATTCAACATTATCCCTGGGATGAAGTTTCAGCTCTTGAGCAAATGATGGAAAACACGCTTTAATGACAGCTGGTCCTTTGCATTCTTTCAGAGGTGTTGAGACCACTTGGAGATTTGTCTGTGTCCTCAGTTGTCCCACAGGTGCTTTTGCAAGAGGCCACTGGACTTTCTTGTTTTATTCTTTGAAGACATTTCACTTCTCACCCAAGAAGCTTCTTCAGCTCTGACCAGATGGAACAGAAGGATTTATATTCCTTGCAGACAAAGCTCTGGTCATTTGCATCCTTTTAAGGAGCCGTTGAGGCCACCTGGAGGTTTGTCTGTGTCCTCAAGGTCACCTGAGTGCTGCAAATGGGGTGTGGAGACTTCTTGGAAAGGACCATGTTGTGGAGCTGTTTTCTGCAGGATTCTTTATTCCCCGTGTCCCTTCCCTGTTGAACCCAGGTGCAGGCTGTTGGGCCTGAGTCTGTGCTGCCTCTGCACCTCAAACTGAAGCCCAAATAGTTCCTAAAGTCTGCCATTTTTTTCTGGAAATCCGTTGACACTCCTGCACTGTTCGAAGGACGTTCATCCCAAAGTCCATAACTAAATGACTGTGGAGATGTTCGGTCTATTTTCAAAGAAAACCCAGAAGGCCCAGCTGCCTCTGGGACAAAGGAGGACACAGACAAAACCTCCAAGTGGCCCGAATGACTCTCTAAAAAGGATGAAAATGACCAGCTGTCTGCAAGGAATAGAAATCCTTCCGTTCCCCACCATCCTGTCAGAGCTGAAGAAGCTTCTGGGATGAGAAGCGAAACGTCTTCAAGGCAAAACAAAGAAAGTCCAGTTGCCTCTTGAAAAAGCACCTCTGGGACAACCGAGGACAGAGACAAACCTCCAAGTGGCCTGAATGACTCTCTAAAAAGGATGCAAATGACCAGCTGTCTGCAAGGAGTTATCAATCCTTCCGTTCCCCACCATCCAGTCAGAGCTGAAGAAGCTTCTGGGATGAGGAGCAAAATGTCTTCAAAGAAAAAACAAGAAAGTCCAGGTGCCTCTTGAAAAAAAAAAAAAGCACCTTTGGGAGATCCTGTTAAAGAAAGTCTACCTGTGGGATTTCTAAGAATCAATACTGGCTTTTCATGTTTTTTTAAAGTCAATTTGCATCCGCAAACTCCTAGGTCTGAAGCCACCTGAGATACAGGTAAGAGCTGGTCCAAAAAGATCTCTCGAACAAGTGCTGCCCTCTGGTGGCAGAGAGCTGCATTTTGTTTTCCTTCCTGCCAGCAAGAATAAACTTTCCAACCTGCTTGCTGACGGCCTGATCCCTTGAGGAAAAAAATGGCATTTCTTGCTTTTTAAAAAGTTAACTAAATAATTAAAAAAAATATTTAGGGACAAAGCAATGTAAATTTATTTATTTATTTGTTGAATTTCGCCCATGGCGACTCGAGGCGGCTTACAGAATGTAAAACCATATTTAAAACAAAAACATAAAAACTAACAAAAAGAATCAAATTAATAAATATAATAGAACAAAATTACTATTAATCCTCCCATCACTCCTTATCACCCATCCCCTCCCACTTGTGACTGTAGGACTGTAACTTTGTCTCTTGTATCCTAACAATTTATATTGACTGTTTCCTAGTATGATTTGACGGCTTATTGTATGTACCCTGTGACTATTATTAAGTGGTGCACCTGATGATTCTTGACTCTTGATGAATTTATTTATTTTATTTTATTTTATTTATTTGATTTGTCAATTGTTTACAAGATAATAAGTATAAGTGTATACATAGTTATGAATACATGAAATGGGTACATATAAGAAAAATAAAATAAAAATAAAAGAAACAATAGGACAGGGACGGTAGGCATGTTGGTGCGCTTATGCACGCCCCCTACAGACCTCTTAGGAAAGGGGTGAGGTCAGTAGTAGACAGTCTAAGGTTAAAGTTTTTGGGGTTTGGAGAAGAAACCACAGAGTCAGGTAGAGTATTCCAGACATTGACCACTCTGTTGCTGAAGTCGTATTTCCTGCAATCAAGTTTGGTGCGGTTAACCTTGAGTTTGTATCTATTGTGTGCTCTTGTGTTGTTATGGTTGAAGCTGAAGTATTCATTGACAGGTAGGACATTGCAATGTATGATTTTATATACCATGCTTAAATCAGACTGAAGACGGCGTAATTCAAGGTTTTCTAGGTCTAGAGTTTCAAGTCTGGTGGCATAAGGTATTCTGCAACGAGTAGAGGAGCGGAGAACTCTTCTTGTGAAATATTTCTGGACTTTCTCAACTGTGCCAATATCAGATACGTAATGTGGGTTCCAGACCGATGAGCTGTATTCGAGTATTGGTCTAGCAAATGTTTTGTATGCTCTAGTTAGTAGTGTGATATTACCAGAGAAAAAGCTACGTAGGATTAGGTTAATGTATGAATGTATCTTTGCTTTTATGTACACTGAGAGCATTTGCACCAAGACAAATTCCTTGTGTGTCCAATCACACTTGGCCAATAAAGAATTCATTCATTCATTCATTCATTCATCCATCCATTCATTCATCCATCCATCCATTTCACAGCCATCAGATGGCTTTGGACTCAACCCAAACAGAGCGACTTCTTCCCAGGACTTACGTCTCATAGATGTGTCCGTTCTCAACTCTTTCCTCCACATAGGCCAGGGCCCGGACATGCATCGGTGAGTGAGGAAAGGCCGCGTGGATCCAGGGTAGTCCAAAGACGGACAGCCCCGTGTTGATCAGTGCTACCAGGAGCAGGTCCCAGTGATAAGCTGTCCCCTTCACCAACCTGGAATAAAATCTTTGTTAGAATCAAGATTCAGCGTAGGAACCCAGCTGGGACCAGGCCAGAACCATCTGTAACCCAAGAATCAGAACAATTCGGGTCTCCAATAGAAGAGAATAATTGTGGCTCAGGGTTGAACTTTACTAGGGGGTCCTTGGTGCTCTCTCTGACCTTGGCTGTTTTTTTTGCAGACATTTTGTGACCCAACTAGGTAACGTCATCAATGCTAGAAGAGGGAGGAGGAGAACTGTGGAGTCCTTGGTGCTCTCTGAACTTGGTGGTTTTTATGGCACTTTTCATGACCCAACTAGGTAA